ATGAAACAAAATTAGTCAAATTCCATTTTTAGGGTTGTTACTCTCTATTTTTCCTAAACTTATTACTAAAATACTTCTGAATGACATACTTTCACGGGTCTCTAAGAAACAATCTTGTATAAGAACTACAATAGAGGGCAAAGAAAAGCACGGGAGTACCTTCATTTAAGCAGCCCTAATATATGATTTAATTAAAACCCATACGACAAGTACAGCAACACTTTAAGAAACATGGTGAGGCAAATGTGCACACCAGTCTCTCCCCCATTTATCCATGGTCTCACTTTCTGTGGTTTTATAGTTACCCATGGGCAACCCTGGTCCAAGAATATTAAAAGGAAAATTCCAGAAATAAATAGTTCATAAGTTTTAAACTGTGCACCATCCCAAGTAGCCTGATGAAATCTCACTATGCAGTCCTGATCTGTCCCACCTAGGACATGAGTCCTCCCTCTGTCCAGCATCTCTACACTGTCTGTGCTACCTGCCTGTCAGTCACTCGGTGGCCTTTTCATTATCAGACTGACTGTCATGGTATCTTGGGGTGCCTGTGTTCCAATAACCCTTATTTTACCCCAAAGTGCAAGAACAGTGATGTTGGTAATTCAGATATGCCAAAGAGAAGCCGTCAAGTGCTTCCTTGAAGAGAAAGACAAAAGTCTCGACTTCCTAAGGAAAGAAAAATCACATGCTGAGGTTGCTAAGATCTACAGTAAGAACAAATCTTCTACCTGAGAAACTGTGAAGAAGAAATCCATGCTACTGTTGCTATTGTACCTCTAACTGCAAAAGTTGTAGCCGCAGTTGTGATAAGTGCTTAATTAAGATGGAAAGGACATGACATTTGGGGTGGAAAGCATGAACAGAAACGTGTTCCATTACTATCTGTTGTTTCAGGCATCCACTGGGGGGTCTTAGAATATACTGCCTAAGAATAAGGGCAAAGCATTTTACTTTAAATTATTTCAAGTCTACTATATATCTGGTTTTATTTCAACTGTCTTAGTATTTTTTAGGGTCTTATACATTTGTATATTTTTAGAGGTATATTAAAATATAATGAAATCTTACTGTAGGTTTTTTGCCTTCTTTTAACAAGGTTTTTCTCCTGAGAACACCTTGAATAGTAACAGCTCCTGGATATAAATGTACTGCCAAATCTTCTGATTCCGCAGAACTATAACAATAAAATGAAGAAAAGAACACATAAGGGCTTTTGTCTACAGTAGTCATCAAGCTGGTACTTAAATAAAATGTAATCATTTTTAATTTTAAAACTTTGTTACTTTATTCAGAGCTGAGAAGACACTGACAATTTTAAAGGTTTATTAATCTGAAATTTATATGCTGTCACAAAAGTTAATTAGAAAGTTATTCAAGTCAGCAGATGGTTAAAAAACACACTTTATGACATTTGAGCAAGTATAATTTAGAAAGAACGCAATAATTCACTTCTGTAAAGATTAAACATTTAAGATTTTTTTTCCTTCTTCTTAACATGCCACACTGCATCACTGTTTTCCCCATTAGAAACTTTAAGT